GATTTTGACTTTTTGATGATACGCGGCAGTACTTTGTAAATAAGCAATACACATTTTCAGTAAATAGCTAAAAAATAAATAAATAATTAAAAAAATAAATATTCATTTAATAGCTAAAGGAAAAAAAATCACAATTATGCGAATTCCTTTGTTTTCTATTGTCTTATATACGCTATAATCAGTTGTCCGGCTTTAGAATAAAGTCATTCAATCCGTTTAATTTGGTGATTAAATTGTAATAGAGTAAATAGACACAAAAGAAAGCAATGCAACTAGAGCTCRTTAAAGTATATTAGTGCATGTATCCATTTCACGTTTTTTTTACTTAACTCTTTTTGGCTAGTAGAGTGATCGCACTTAACCCATGCAATTGTACAAACTAAATAGTGCTATTTACTTGTATTTAGCCAATCTTGCATGCGATACGTAAATTAAATTGAATTGATACAAATGAAGCATTCAATACCGTCTTGCTTCAGGTCGACTTTTAGTACAAATTAGTACTACTTAGATTTTGTACAGTTGCACGGATTTTAAAGTGCGTTCACTCTAGAGTTCAAACACTAAAACTGTATATACATAAGCACCACTAAATTATGCTAATTCTATTGTTTTCTATTGTTAATTAGCACTAATTTGTAGTAAATTGTACAAAGTGTTGTACGCGTTTAGTACTTACACTTGTTTTGCATGACTTAATAAATCATATCTATGTATTATGTTATTGGATTCATTAAAATGAATTAATAAATTAAAATGAATTAATAAATCATTGTATATTCGATTTATTAAAATTTTATCTGATAAATGCACATTACGAGGAAGATTTCATGAAGAAATTCGAGCAGTTGATACAAATAAATTACTGCAACTTTCTAAAATATGCGGACTTCAATGATCAAACATGAACCGCCATTTCGTGTTTTCATATTAAAACCCAAGGGTTGTGATAGCCTGCGTAGCAGCCCTAAGGGGATTGGGGAGGGCCGGCCGAGGGCCGCTACGCAGGCTAGGCTGTGACATTTTGATGGTTGCAGGATCACAGGCAACCCAAGCAAAGCATTGGAACTTTAATTTAAAGTGAATGTATGGAATTCAATTTTTTTTAAATAAAACTTTATAGTGTATGGAATTTCATTTTTTATATATATATATATGTACATCTTACCTTAATCTTATGTGTTGCTGATGTTATTTTTAAACATTGCTGTGTGTGGTTTTGAAGAGATTTAGAGCTATGGCGATATTTTTCGTTAAAAATAGCTCTAAATCCCTTCAAAGCCACACACAGCAATGTTAAATAACAGCAAAAACACATACGGATTAAGGTAAGATGTATATATATTAAAAAAATGAAATTCCATACACTGTAAAGTTCAAATGCTCTGCTTGGGTTGCCTGTGGCAGGATAACTTTGTAAATAAGCACTACCAGCACTATACACATATCAGAATCAAAGTTTTCGGTTTTAAATCAAATATATAAAGGGAAAAAAACTGCTGAATTATGCAAATTTCCTCATTCATGTTTTACCATGGTCCTATCGAGTTAAGCTAAAATAGTGAAAGAAAAAATGTCAAGAAAAGTTGTTTTTCTGTTTGCGGTTTTCTTTCTTTCTTCTTTTTCTTGTTCGCTTTTTGCCATCTATGTTTGGAAGCCTCTCTAAGTAGGAAATACTAAGTCCTCAAACCCCACCTCTCCAGGTACCCACTTCAATTTTTGTGCAACTTTCAAAGCATAAACCAATCAATCAATAAAACAGGCTATACTGGCAGTAATTATCCCTCACATTTGGGCTTCCTGTGAGTAAACATGATACCCAACCAACTTCTTAAATTACATTCCAAGAATGTGCAGCTAAGCAAATTTTACTTGGCATCAAGGCAGAATTCGGTAGATTGCTCGTAGACTCGTTCAAACGTTTTTGATTTTAGGATAGATTTGTCTCTTTAGTCTACTTTAACTGTATACATCAGTCGGTTATGAGTGGAAAGATGTGTGTGTGTGATATGGTCGGTTGATCTCCTTTGAATAAGGACAATAAGGTAAGCTATACATGTATACATCAAGTCCTCCCGGTGCTGTAGCGTCTATATCAAGTAAAGATATCACTGCCCTTAAAGATTTTAACGCGAGTTTGGACAGAAAAGTTCACAGATAATCAAAAATCATTGAAATCGATTTAATCTGTATTCAGCGAGATTTTTTGTCACGCTATCGAAGCTTAAGTATGAACTGCGAGAGATCTCTCTAGAGACGAGTATGGTATAGCCCTACTGATAGTCAATATAAAGCCCTAAACTTCGTAAAACTTAGCGAATAAATATCAACTTTATTGTAGGAACACCAGTAGCAATGAGAGTGCTCTTCTATTCCTACAACAGTGACAAAACGACTGTATTTTGATGGTAAGTATTAGTATTCACAGTTGTTGCTCGTAGACTCGTAGGCAGTTAGAGAAGAAATCCGGGTCGACAAACAATGTGTCATGATGTGTCGATCATGTTCTGAAAAAATGGAAATGGACTATGACGCGGACCTTAAGATACAGTGCTAAGATTAGAATTATCTTTACTTTTGATGAGTTTTGAAATTTCACTTTCATTTCATAGATAAAGAGAAATTTCCCATATTATATTCATGGCTTGGTTCAGTTACGTCATCACAATTTTTTATTTACTCGCATTAAACACTACATAGTTTGACATAAATTTAAGATTGTAGAGCGTTTGGTTGGGGGAAGACTACATCCCGGGCTGAGAGATAGACCAGCCCCAAAATTTCCGAGAGGAACATGGTGCCTAGTGTTCCCGGGGGTACTCCCTATAGAGCGCATTTCGTGTAATTGTGCAACGGCACGGTCACGGAACCTCGCGAAAGTAACCGTGTTTTTTTGCACAGCCATACGAAATCCGCTCTATTTGCTATAAGTTGTTATACGTGGACGTGCCGCTGGCCAGGGTATGGTTTTTGGCCTTGCTGTCTTTTAAAAACAGGGTATACATTTCACCCGAAAATTGTCTTAAACAGGCTGTACAATTTAGATAAAAGACCGAAATAATTTTTTTTGTGTGTCTTGGACAGGGTAACATTTTCATAAGAAATACCGTAGAAATAGTAGAAATATCGTTTCACTGTGCCAGGATTAACGTGTTATCAAAAACTTCTTATTGTCTTTGATGGATTGCGGCGTAGATAGCTATTCCTTATTTTTCCGATTTGTCTTGGACAGGGTATGGATTTTCATTTTCTAGTGCCTTTTAAAAACAGGGTCAGGGTTTTAGATCACTGGC